TATCAATAGGTATGTAGGCTCCTTAGATGCAATCCCAGAACATCTGGAGCACCACTTGAAGACCCTCCGCATTGACAGAATCACCATCAGTCAATTGCAAAAGGCAGCTTTACTTGGAACAGCTTACATCCTGCAATGATACCTTTAACACTATCGAACAACATCTGCCTATCCCAGGTCTTTGGGAAGGACTCAATAGGTGGATAAAAATGCCAAATCCAGGGTGAACATCTGGCTGACTGTGCAACCAACAATAAAGCTATAATAAAGCTAAAATAATAAAGCTATAGCTATCCAATAATCTAATGCTAATCTAATCTAACAGGCAATCTAATGCTAATACAGTTTACAGTAAGGTTGTTCTCTCATTTTTTAAACCTGATTTTTACTGTCTCATATGTGGTTATTAGTATCTCTTTCCTGCGATCTAGGCATTTTGGATGGAACACTTTTAGAGAGAAACCAGCTTATTTTCCCCCTCTCAAAAATTCCTCTCTAAATGTTTCACCAATAAGTAAGTGATAGAGGGCTTTTTAGGATTTAAGAACTGGTAAACTTCTGTATATAGAAATAAGATGTACCAACCGGCTGCATTTCTGAGAACAAGTAAAAAAGAGGGAGGAAAAAAAAACACACCTTGGTGAACATACAAATGCATGGACTACCACAGGCTACTGTGTCCTGTGTTTCATCTTTCAGCTCATGTACATCATTGCAATTGTGGACCAATGAGTTGGGCATCCTGACCTCTTTGCTCATGGAAACACGTTTCCAGGGAGCAGGAAGAAAGCATATGGCAGCAAGTTTTGCTCCTTGAATGCTTTATATTCATAGAGGGAAATGAGTGGAACACAAGGAGTAGCCTCTGATTTGACCCATGGCTATCTTACCAGCATGACAGGATCATCAGGAAATGATAAACCATACAAGAACAGCAAGATTTTTTTGAAGAGATTTATAGAACATTTGGACAATGTCCAATGCACATTTATTTTTTAATGCATAATGTTACACACCATTAGGTATCTGAGATTCTTACAAGTAGATCTCTGTTTCTTAGAAGTTTTGTGATGGTAATTGTAAAAATGCATCTGGGAGTCACTTGGCTTCTTCTCAGAAACCTGAAACTTGTACTTAATAGTAAATTACAATGCATTTAAAATTCACATGTTGGGAAACAAATCTGAACTGAATCATAGCACATAAATAAGTTACGTACGCGGGCCTTAAGTTTCATTGCATTCAATGCAGAGCAACAGCTCTCAGTGCGAAGAACAATCACCTCCTTTGGTCACCGCTGTATTCAAAGCAACCTGAGGTAGTTATTCCGTTCCCAAAGACGGAACCAGCCTTAGCATTCAAGGTAAATGGAACGCTAAAAGCGGGTGGTTGTTTGAAATATGCGGGCAGCTGTAGCGATCGGATACGGATTTTGCAAATTCATTGGAAAGGCAGGGCGGCCGGGCGGGTGGCGGTGGAACGGGGAGTAAGGAGTATACGTTCCGCCAGACGCCTCACCGGCTTGTTTTCGAAGTGTGGTTTCTCCGAAGGAAAACACCGGCGCCTTCTCTCGCCGCCTCGAAGCCATGTAATATCTCTGTGCGAGATAAAAGGGAGCGGGGCGGCGGGAGTGGGAGGTCTTTTCTGGGCTCGTCCAGCTGGATAGCGGGGGACTGACGTCACCGGCCCTGCACCGGCCCCCACCTCCTCGCTTCGCGCGCTCCAGCTTCTGCGTGCGCGCGAGTGCCTTCTTCGGTTCTCTGTCAGTCCCCGGTCTCGGCGGTGGGGTTGAGAGGGAGCACGAGCGCTGGCTGGCGGGGTGGTTCTCCTGCTCCCTTTCCCGCGCCCCCCTTCCCCTCGCCTGAACAGCCAACTCTGCAACCAGCTGCCCAGAGTACTACTCGGGGCCACATGAATCCTGTGATCCGCACAGCGTAAGAGGATTTAAGAATCATTCTCTCGCACGCACAGAGAGAGAGAGGTTTCCAAAGCCAGAGAAAGAAGCATCTTTCCGACTTTCTCCCCCAGCGAGCCCGCACAGCCGAGAAAAGTCTTCCTCTAGGCTTTGGATTTTTTTGCCGTTTCTGCCTCCGTCTCTTCGTGCCCACATCCGTTCCATTTCCAAGTTCCTCTCTTTGAGCTGATAAGGCACTTGGGGCTTCGTAGAAAAAAAAAGCACAAAAATTGAGGAGGCGAACAGACCCAGTTTTCCGTTTATAGCACAAAGAATAGACTATATTAAGAGGGGCAACCCGGGGGGAGGGAGAAGAGGGAGGAGGGAGTAAAAGGAGGAGGAGGGAGAAGCAGGGAGAGCGCCCGGGAGCAGGAGCAGCAACAAGAACAGAACGGAGAAGAGCCGAGAGGAGGAGGAGGAGGAGGAGGAGGAAGAGAAGAAAGCAGGGAACCCCGGCTGCCAGGGGAGTTGAGCCGGCTCCTTGATCTTTGGATGCCGTCGGCTCTTCTGACTCTCTTCAGAGACAGCCTGCTACTTTTGCGCGTTGGGCCGTGTTGGGAGAAGAGGGACCCCCGCGAACAGCCGGCAGCAGGCCGGGGGCTC